AGATACTGTGACTGTGAAGCTTACCGATTCTGTGAATGGTTTCGAACCCATGTGAGCAACAAACGAACCTGTTTGTCGAAGACCTGAAGCACTTCAAGTCAAGCCATCTCTGAGTCACTGCTGATGGCCCAGAGCTGGAAGGTGCGAGAGAACTAATGCCTGAAGTTGAGGGATTCCCCCGAATCCTCAATGTAGTCATACCCACTTGAGGTAATATTTTATTTGGGGATACTATGGTACCCAAAACAGAGTAAGATTCTATCCTCCCGTTGGGGTATAGTATTTTATATGAGGAACATTATCTTGCTGGGTTCAACCACCATAAAAAACACTACTTAATATAATCCCAATATAACCCCAATATGTACCCTATTATAATATAGTAGTTTCCATTTTCTTTTCCATTACCCCTATACTACTAGGTTCAACCTAAACCCTAAACCCTAAACCCTAACCCCCCCAAAAAAAAGCTACCCACTTGATAAAGTAAAGAGGCCATCCCTCAGCTCCTGTACGTCATCACACCCTAAAGGAATAATTTCCCTAAGGGTCCATGTACCTAATAATTGGGTACTTGGGTTTTAGGTAAGTAATAGTAATTATAGTAGAGGTTTTGGGTAAGTATATGAAAGTTCCAAGTAGCCTGGATGCTCCACCCTTTACTGGGTTGCTGTGAAGGAACTTAATTTAAGTTACCACAATGGGTATATATAGTAAATCATAGGGTTTCCCCAATATAGTGACTTAATTTAAGTTCCTTAACAGCAACCCAGTTTAACGCACAAAGGATTTCGAACAGACTAGAGCAATAACAGTAGCCGGGCTACGCAACCCTTAGCCTTACATATGCCCACACAACTGATATGCTTGGGTGCATGCAAATTTCAAAAGCCTGAAATAAGACTCCCATCTCGAGGCGCGCATTGAGCAGCTGGAGCAGTTGGTTGAAGCGATGCGCTTTACTGACCGCGATGCCACAGCCTTAGCTGCACACACGACGTCGATTTGTTTTCTTCGGACTCTTTGGAGAACACTATCGAATGTCAGGTGCCTTTTTTGTTGACCAGAAAGACCAATCCAATTGGCTTGAGTTTGACAACTTATTTGTTGTAATAGGTATTGTACTGAAAGAAGTAGCGGAAGGTAGGGATCATGATTGGCAGTTCTGTGTTTAGGGTGTAGGGGGCTTATGGTTTAGGGTTTAGGGTTATGATAGGGATCCGTTCCGTTCCCTACCCTATTCCTGAAAGCCTAAGCCCAAAATTTCAGCTTTCATTTCCTTTTCTATGCCTACAGTCCTCATTAAAGACCCCTGAGACAGTCTGACCTCCAGTTGGCTCAGTGTGATCGACCCAGAGGCCATTTGGGGTTTGGGGCTTAGGTTTTTTTTGGCTTAAGGTTGAGAGTTAAGGAAATAGGGCTGAGGGGAAGGCATGATAAGAGGCATCAGGGACAGAGATTGTAGTTTGTGCTAACAACCCAGCGATGACCCCCAATCCCTCCTCCCACCCTGCCCTTACCCTTGAATCGTGAATTTTGAACAGACCCCAAACCCCAAAGCTTAATAACCCCTACACCCCAAACTCTAATCAATCTTGAAACCTGCGCCCTATACCTCAAAGCCATGAACCCGGACGTGCTTAGGAGCTGGTCAACACCATCGACGTCTGGAAACGCGCCTACGAGAGGATCTGCATTGCCCGGGATGAGATGGAGGAGCGGGGCTCAGGGTTATACGGGTTACGCTGGTGGTTTTGAGGCGCCATGCTCTCATGGTTCACCTACCGGGGTCGGTAGGGAAAATGGGAATATGAATAATAATTATAGGGATTATGGAGGGACCATCGTCTCTTATTCCCTATTCGCCACCAGGTTAGGGTGAAGGAGCTTTAGGGTTGTCTCGTGAAGGGCTGCCGGGTTTAGATTGTTCAGGATTCACTAGACTATTTGGAATCATGAAGACCCGTCATACTCCTACAAAGTTTCAGACAGAAGCCCAAACCAAGGGGATTTGGTCGGGCCTACAAAGCTATCTACACAATTTTCCTTCCTTTCTTTGGGCCCCATACCTAAACCTTTCGGAGAGTTGAGCCTGAACGCACCCCTAAACCCAAAGCCCCCAAATCCTGAACCTTAAGCCCCTAAACCCTAAACCCTAAACCCTAAGCAGCACCCTTAGAATCTGAAACCTGGTAGCTTAGCTGTACTACCAGCATTGGTGTCCATTTTCTGTTGTCCATAAACCCATAGGCATTGGGGTGTAGGGTTTAGGGATAACCTGGTTTAGGGTTTAGGGTTTTGGGTATGTTGCTGGATAATGCATTTCAGGGTTGTTGCTGGTAGTCTTCTCCTGTTTATGTTCTCGTAGTTCTTATCTAAGTACTCTCTTGTCTCTCATTCCGCGGACCTGCTTCAAGATGTCATATTCCCCCAAACCCTAAACCCCAAACCGTAAGCCATACCCTAACAAGAGAATCCCTAAGTTCGAAACTGTTAGATCCGGCCAGGAAGACTTCCAATCTCAGCTGGTGATGAAGGACAAGCAGCTGAGGCACCTCGAGTGGATTCAACGCCTGTTTCCCAAAAAGGAGAGTACGAAGGAGGGTCGGGGGGACTTAGCAAGTAGGTGGATAACTCCTATAACCCAGATAGTAACCGCAATTATCCCCATTATTAACCTAGTTACTAAGTCCCCTAAACCCTAAACCCTGTATTAGATAATCTCTTAATAGAATCCCTAGTATATAATGCCTATATAACAATATGAAGGAAGTTTTAGGGTCTAGCCTTGAGGCTCTGGGACGAGAGTACATAGGGTCGTTTTGGGTTTAGGGTTTAGAGACAAACGTTAGTTTTTGGTAGAACTTCATGTCCCCTTAGTTCCACATATTGGTCACCACTTTCCATAGGTTTTGAGTATAGCCTTGACAAGGCTGATGGGTGCCCTCATGCAGTCGATACTGGGGTAGGGTTTAGGGCTTGGTGTTTGGTCCCTGCGAGATAGGTACGAAGAAGGTGAGGGGACCTCACTTGGATTTGGATACCCTTGGTATACATGCTACATCAAAGTCAAACATCCGAACCAGAAGCCAACTTCCTGATGGCATAGACCTCAAGCCCCCTGAGCACTGCAAGTGAAGCTTTCAACCCCAATCTCTAAATAGGGCGACCCCAATATGCCACTATGATGGGGTCCCCCCAAAGGTACCCTTGATTTTGGAGACCCTCAATCCAATGCGAGCGCGTAAAGGGAGATCCTCCCTAAACCCTAAACCGCGTCTGCATGGCAACTTTATGCACCATATAGGCATAACAGTCATGCGTGGCTGCTGTTCAGGTCATGGTTGTTATTGGTTTAAGGGTTTAGGGTTTAGGGCGTTGACATGATGTTTATTCCTGATTGTTATTGCTGCTGTTGCTGCTTCTGCTTCAAGCCCTGAGTTGTAAATGCTCTACTCCGAACCTAAAGCCCCGAAAACAAAAACCCAGATCCCAAACCTCCACATCCCAGATCCCAAGCCCTCAAACCTAATTTTTTTAAAGCAGCAAAACCTACATCCGAAGCCCCAGACCCCAAAACCTAAATCCCGCCCAACCCCAAACTTTGAACTCCAAACGCCAAGCCTGCGCCCCTACACCCCAGCAAACCCGAACCCTACATCCCAAGCCCTCAATCCCCATACCCCAGTAGGGCTTCGGGTGTAGGGCTTTAGCCCCCCTCAAATAGATAGAATACGGAATTCTCCAGAACCATAATGAGATCCTCATATATCCTACATTTGCTCTACTCAAGGGTGACTAAACCCTAAGCCTTAATAATCTTAAACTGTGAAGGAAGATGGCCCTGGACAACTCTGAGGACCGGTGTGTGCCGAGTGCGAGACCGCAGTTTTTCTTAGGGTTTAGGGTTTAGGGTTTAGGTTGTTTTTTGGGGGGTCCTTAAGAGTTGAGGGTTCAGGGTTTTATGGTAACAAGATTTGGGGTTCCCAAACAGGAAGTTCGTAGGGGATCTCCAGCATTCCATGAGTTTGCCAAGGGACTATGGGAATCTTTTTCGGGTTGAGGATTCGTTTTAAGGTTTCGGGGTTACGTGAATTGAGAGGGGGACCCCAATCATCATGGGCTTTGGGCATGAACATATTTCTGTGGTCAGTAGACATGCAGTACATTTTTTTTACATAAAAGCTTCTAAAGGGAAAGGAGCCCTAAACCCTAAACCCTAAACCTAAACCTAACATGGCCGTTTCCATTTTTGCTTTCATTCCTTACTAGATTCTACAAAAAGACCCTCCAAGTAGGGATCACATAAAACCGTCAACTGCGGGCTGTCAGAGGCTGCCCAAGTTACAGGGTTTAGGGTTTTAGGGTTTTAGGGTTTTAGGGTTTAGGGTTGTAGGGTTTAGGGTGTAGGGGTTTAGGGTTTAGGGGCTAAGGGTTTAGGGTTTAGGCAGTTTTCAAACTACTTGAAGCCCGAAACCCCAAATCGTAATGCGTCCATTGTGGGCAGCTCCGAAAATCCTGGAAAGTTCCCATGTGTCAGAAGCCCGAATTGCAGAAGCCACGAACTCATGATCTTCACAAAGTTCATGGTTTAAGAGGCTTATACTCCCCCAAACTAACATGGAAACCCATCTAGTCCCCTTTTTGAAGGACTGTAGTCTTTAGAGGGCCCTTTTTGGGTTTCCATGTTAGTGTCCGGGAGTGTAGAGCTCAGGGATTAGGACCAACTTGTGCGAGGTATCTGTCAAAGTTGATATGCTGGGTTGTCAAAAGTTTTGGGGTTTAGGGTTTAGGGTTTGGGGTTTTTGTTGTTTGAGTCCGAAGCATAGGGCAGCCCAGGATATCTAGGGTATCCCAGAAGGGGCGTGCTTTTGTCAACCTTCCACATCCATCCAGATGAGTAGTATTTTATTTGGGGATACCATGGTACTCATTATACAGTAAGATTCTATCCTCCTTTTGGGGTATAGTATTTTATATAAGGAATATAATCTTACTAGGTTCAACCACCAAATAAAACACTACTCAGATGTCCATGAAGTTCTCATTCCAAAGCGTGCATGTCTCAAAATCCCCTCCAAGAACCCTGGTAGGAGAGACCCTACCCTGAACCCTCAACCCTCCGTCTGTGAACTTCCCAAATCCAAGCCTAAACGCTGAGCCTGAACCCGAAAAGATCCGAAGCAGTAATTTAAAAGTTATAGTCACCCTTAAGTAGATAAAATATGGTTTGGGTATATTATGATAAGATCCCCATGTACCCCATTCTATCTACTTAAGGGGGACTATAACCCCTAAACCCTAAGCCTTAAACCCGATATTCTATCTACTTAAGGGGAACTATAACCCCTAAACCCTAAACCCTAAACCCGATATTCTATCTACTTAGGGGGACTATAAACCCTAATCCGCGTGGCCCCATGGCCAGGAGCGGGAGAACGTGAAAAAGGAGATCGAGAGTTGGAGGCTGAAGGTTCTGCAGGCGCATGCTCTCCGATTGTTTATCTAGTAACTAGAAAAGAAACTCCTAAACCCTAAGCCCTAAACCCTAAGCCCTAAACCCCAAGTCCTAAACCCTAAGCCCTAAATCCTAAACCCTAATGGTAACCCCCTACCTTGTCCCTGGAGTGATCCCCTATTTTTGTGCACTTGCTCCATGCTCTTCTTCCTTTCAGGAGACGACCAATGAGCAATCGTTGCACGTGATTCTCTGAAACCTCATGTGCCAGTTAGGGTTTAGGGAGAAAATGGAAACTACTGTAGTATATTGGGTTGTATAGGGATAATGGAAAAGAACATGGAAACTACTTAGGGTTTAGGGTTTGGGGTCCCGGGTTTTGGGTTTAGGCTAATTTGGTGGCACTGCTGCACATCATTGCTGAGGAAGTTTAATCTGTTCATAGAGGCAGGAGATCTGTGTAGCCTGCCTCAGCACTTCCTTTCCCTGGTCGGATGATTGTTTGCTTGGCTGCCTTGTCTTCCAACCCCTATACTTGAATGTCCTGGCAGACGGAAGATGAATGGAAGATGAAGATGGTCCCTCTTCATGTGCAGAAGGATGAGGCAAGGTTCGGGTGGCCTGTTTTTTCTTTTTGTCTCCTGCCAAGGGTTTAAGGAGTTTGAGGCGATCTAGGGTTTTCATTAGGTGGACCCCCCACCCTGTAATAGTGACTATAAGGGATAATAAGGATGATATTAGGGTCCTATTATATTCCTATTTACACTATTACAATGTGGGGGGTCCTCCTAAGATCTAGGGTTTTTAGGGGTTTTAGGGGTTAAGGTTACCCTTTCTGGGCTATCAGAGTTTGTCCAAAGGGTGAAAAGTTCGGAGTCAAGGGGTGCATTCAATGTAGCCCCTGTTGAAAAGGTGAATAGTCTGTGTGTCCTATCATAGTTATTTTGGGGAGGGTAAGCTCTATGCAATCAATCCGAGACCCAAAGTCCTCAGTCCTAAAGCCCGAGCCCTAAACCCTAAACCCACTCCAGATTTAGGATTCAGAATGCTGGGAGCAGTAAGGGTGTGAGGATCAATAAATCACAGGCGGCTTTTGGGATTGGGAACCCTAAGCCCTAGACCTTAAAACCTAACCTGAACCTTACACCCACAAAAATTTCGTTGTGGGGCCAGGTGTGGTAGCTTTAAAAATCCCCTTGCAACTCCCATGCATCCCTGGGCTCCTAAGGACCCCCCCCCTGCCAATTTTCAGAAACCACCATACACGATCAATTTGCACTGACACAGCCTTGGGCTACTTTTGGTAAACCCTAACCTTATATAGCCCCAATTTAACATCCATATAGCTCAAAGATAACGTCCTACAGAACCCCCATGTAACCCCCTGTATACTCCATTTATGGTAGTTTCCATTTTCTTTTCCATTATTAAAGTATAAGCCTTATACAATCCCTATAATCCCTATGGTCCCTATTTTCTTTTCCGTAAAGTTAGGAGATGCCTTGCTGATTTTCGGCTACTGGCACCACCCACCCCAAAAAGACAAAATGTAATCTTAAGAATTATCTTTACGCCCGATACCTGTATCTACCTAGGTGCCATTGTAACTCTACTGCAAATATACTATATACCTGTTTTTGTATTCTATTTACACTATACTTATGTGGCTGCATGTTTCATGTAGTTTTGTGTCACTACTCAATTGCATAGAAGAAATTTCTCTACATGTGTTTGCCGTCCCGTGTCCAAGCATTCAGAACAAGTCAAGGTATGTTTAAAAAGAGTAATTGTTGTAACGTTTCTTGTTAACTCTATAAATACGCTTGAAACAATCAATACCATTAACCTGCTTGCAACGATGACACTTCCTAGAAATACTAGCATCTCGTTCACTAGGCTCCGAAATCAACTATGTAATATCTTTTCTACTCTTACTGGCATTGTTATTTATATACACTTTTTTCATAGCGTGAAATTATGAAAGCAGGCTGGTTCCTTAAGCTTTAACGAAGTGAATTCACGAATTAAAGTCATTTCCACACTCTCATGGCTGTTGCACTGTGTTGCGATAGACACAAAAGGATTGGCGAAGC